AATATAAAATGTGCATGAGCAATATAATATACACTATAATTCAAAAGTTTAGGGTCAGTAAGATTTTTAAAGTATGCTTACAACAGCTGCATTTATTTGATCAAAAATACAGTAAAAAACGTAATATTGTGAAATATTACAGTTTAAAATAACTTTTCCATTTCAATATATTTTAAAATGTAATTTTTTTATGTAATTTTCAGCATCATTACTCCAGTCTTCAGTGTCACATGATCCTTCAGAAATCATTCTAATATGCTGATTTGCTGCTTGAGAAACATTTCTTATGGTTATCAATGTTTAAAACAGTTGTGCTGCTTAAGCCATATTACACTTTTAACGATTTCTTTAAGGAATGGAGAGCTCAAAAGAACAGCATTTATTTGAAATGGAAATCTTCTATAACAATGTAAAATCTTTAGTGTCATTTTTTATTAATTTGATGCATCCTTGCTGAATAAAAGTATTAATTTCTTTTAAAAAAATTTTTTTTACTGGCCCCAAACTTTTGAACAGTAGTGTAACTAGATTTTTAAGTAGATGCACTTGACAGTTTTTAAATATTGTTCATCACTGACCTGGCCAACGAAGAAGAGCTCTTCTGGATTAGCCACATGCTCTGTGGAAAGCTCCTGCATAGGAACCAGACCCTTCATGTCTCCATAGAAACGAACAATGCAGCCAAAGGCCTTCACACATATGATGAAGCCGTGGGAGACGCGGCCCACCTTGGCATCAGCGTAAGACAGGAAGAGAGGGAGTGTGGACTCAACAAGGGCTTTCTTCCTGGTCAGGAACAACTTTTTCTGCTCAGTGTCCACTGACAACACCTAAACCAACCCAAGTTAAATGGGTTGTTAAAGTTAAAAGAAAGGTTAAAAATAAAATAAAATAAATAAATGCAACAATAAAACAAGTTGGCATTATCCATTTGTTTTTTAATTTTACATAAAAAACTGTATTTTTTAAAAACTTGTAACGTAGAAAGCCATTTCACTGTCATGTGAAAATATATTTTTAAAATTGTTAAGAAAAAGATAAGTTCAAAAAGGACAACGCAGTAACCCCCAAAAATGCATGGCTAATTTTATTTTTATTACAATTTGGGAAAAACACTTTGGCATAATCTGTTTGTTTCAAATAATCAAAGCGGCTTTAAATTTTACATTATATTTAAGAAAACTCAAGCCTGCATTATAAGAGAAAAAAAAAAAAAAAAAAAGAGTAGCAAATTTTGGGGGAAAATTAAAATAAATAAATAAATAATATCAACTTAATAATTAAATAAGAAAACCCTATAAAAAATAATAATAAAAAACTTTGTCATAATTTTTGTACAAAAAAAACCAATATTTTTTTAAATCTTGTAATGTGTAGAAAGCCATTTCTCTGTCATGTGAAAATATATTTTCAAACTTATGAAAAAGACAAGTTCAAAAGGGAAAATGGAGTAACCCCAAAAACCTGTGTGACTAATTATTACCATTTTAAAATTCTTTCATCATTTTGGACATCCTTATTTTTCACTGACCCAAATAACAGCGCATGACTTTAACATCCCAGGTTAAACATCCTCACCCTGCACTGGACCTTCAGCCCACTAGAAAACACCTTCTCTGGGTTCTTTAGGACGACATCGGCCAGGTGAATTTTGGGTATCAATCCTCTGATGTGGTCCGTTATCCTCACATAGGCGCCATGTTTCTGCAAATCCAGACTCATACCTCGTCTCCTGTGTTGTAGGTAGATGCTTTGTCCTCATCAAGGTGCAGAAAATCAACCATTCCAGTAAAAGATGAAAGATACGTCACAATAAGCCCATAAGGAGTAACCTGGCATGACAAGACATCAGCAAACAACGTCAACATCTCAAAAGCATTGATCTAGAACACTTGAAACTGACTTAAAAAGGAATTCAAACTGCTTGAAGTGACTTACAGTCGTTCCTGAATATTAAACTGGGATATTTGGAAGTAGTGCTGGGCGGTATGACCAAAAATTTATATCACGGGATTTTTCAAAATTATCACGTTCTATTAGTTCTACAGCTTCAGTTTCGGAACTTTCACGCTTAGTAACACATACAGCTGTCCCCTCACCACAGTGCAACAGTGAAAAGGGACCCCTTTCAAACAGTGTCGCGTTCCGAACGTTGTTTAAGCGACATACACCGGTATTGCGGTATTTTAAAAATTCATATCATAACAAAAATAAACACCGGTATTCGGTATGAACCGGTATACCACCCAGCACTAGTTGGAAGTAATTTAACATTGACAATATTATACTACTTTACGTTTCTGTGCAGCTGACTTACCCTTTTAATGCGTGCCCGGACCAGAAGACCCGGCAGGAGCGTGTCCAGAGTCCATCCTTGCTGAGTCTCTGTCCAGAGTCCATCCTTGCTGAGTCTCTGCACAGGCCTTTGCAAGAGCCTGGGGATCCTGGGACAGACACACCACACGCCCGTCATTCTTGACTTCCTCTATCAGGATCATCACATACTGACCCACATTCAGATCTGAGACAAACAGGAAACTTACAATCATTATGCCACTTTTATCCTGATCCAGTATATCCTAACAACTTTTGTCTATGCTGTTGTCATTCCAAACCTGTATAACTTCTTTATTTATAATGAACAATAATATAATAGGTAAAATGTAAAATAATAATTCTGCATTTTAGATCTTAAAAGTAGTCTGACATGAAGGTGAGTAAATTATGACAATTTAAACACTGGTAGTTCTCTTAATCAACAAGAAGTGGGTAATTCATTGAATTATGATAAATAGATTCTGTATTTGTGCCTGATTCTCTACCTTGTTTTGAGGATGTGCTCTTTTTGGGCAGGAAAGCTTTAGTGCCACTGATTCCGATGTCAACCAGGAAGCCGTGATCTTCCACACTCTCCACACAACCACTCAGTGTCTAAAATGTTACGACAGCCTGATCTTAGTTCAAAAGTGACAATTACTCATAAAAGATTTAACAAGAACACAGTTTTTTTTTTTTTTATGAATTAATACTTTCATTTAGTAAGAACACATTACATTTATAATCTGACCAAATATTCGATTTCAAATAAATGCTTTCTATAAGCTTTCTATTCATCAAAGAACACTGAAAAAATGTATCAAAGTTTCCACAAACGTATGAAGGAACAGAACCGTTTTAAACATGATAAAAAATGTTTCTTGAGCAGCAAATCAACATATTAGAATGATTTCTGAAGGTTCATGTGACACTGAAGACTGGAGTAATGATGCTGAAAATTCAGCTTTGCATTTACAATACATCATTTTATATTGTAATAATATTTCATTTACAATATTACTGTTTTACTGCATTTCTAATCAAATAAATGCAGCCCTAGTGAGCATAAGAAACTTCTTTAAAAAAAAAAATCTAACAGACCTCAAACTTTTGCATCTATAAAAATCTACTTGCTATTTGATTATATTTATTGCCTCTAAAATTGCTTTCTAAAAATGCAATCATTTTAATATCCGCATCAAAAGAACACTGAATTCCGTTTGATACATGCATCTATTTGCTTATAATATAAACAAAAGTTTGCAAACTCACCATTCCAGGTTTCAAAGAACCTGAACGCAACACCTTGTTAACCTCTTTAGGGTTGATTGACACTTTAAGACTAATATGACCCTCCTTAATGGAGTCTAAAGACGACACAGCACATCTGATCAGCATTCTAGGAGTAAGTAGTTGTGAGAGAGGGACAACTTCCTGTGAAGAGCAGACAGACACAAACTAAATGCATCATACTGTTTAACGACAACATTCACATATTCACATCTTTTCTTTCCTTGTGCAGCTGCGTTACCTTCAAACTGTCTTCAGAGTCCAGGTTGTCCTTAAGAATATTGGTATAGGAGTCACAAATGTTGCAGATTGGCAGGTAACCAACGAGACCACTTGGGAGACCAACTACCGCCTCAAAGTCTGACACTTCCTTCACACAGCCCAGCATCAGCGTGCCAATCTTCAGATTCTAGACAGAGAAACCAGAGTGATCAGACACAAAGTCGTCAGTGGCATGACTCAATTCTTCTGTGTTTGTTTTTTTTAAATGTATATATTAACAAAAGAGTTTACGCATACACGAAGATGAAGAATTTCCACTCTGGCGGCAGTATTAAGTTTTAAATCCCCTTCTTCCAATTTTTGTTGTTTATTTTTTTTCTTTTCATCCTGTTGCACGAGCTTTCTCTTCTTTGTAACCACTGTTTCACGTGTCTGAAAAATATTACATACATGTATATTACACTCATAGCAAGATGTGCAAGCTGCTGTATGCACATTGATCTTCATTAAAATCGCTGTTGTAGTCACCACCACCACCATCATCATCATCTTACTTCAAAAAGATTGTCCAAGCCATGTGCCTTAACATTTTTGGGCTCAGTGGTCTTCTTCTCTGTCCCACCACGGGGAAAATCTTCCTCCATAGACGCCATTCTTCACCATGTACCTAAATATAAAGGCTCTAATGAGTTCCAATAAAGAAACAAACGCATAAAACAGAGTCTTTTAGACATGAATCTTTGTCTTGTCTTACATCTGCTTACATGTTGTTACCAAACTGCAGGCAGAGACACATTAGAAACACAACATACATAACTATACTATAATGCACCGTTTAGTCAACATATTCCTTACATGAAAATACGCAACAACTGCCATTAAACCCCTCTAGCGGTAACAACAAATTAATCTTACTTACGCTATAAAACGTTGTGTAGATCTCAATGCACGTAAACACACTCGGTGCAAGTAAATCTCACATGTTCCTCAGAAGAGTGCGAACTGTACCACCCGGACGTAAACACTGAGAGGCGGGATTTCAGATTATGCCGAAAGGAAAAGAATCAACCAATAGGATGACGGGAAAATTAGATTGACGTCTCTGCGAACCTATTGTGTTAGTGCAAGAAGTGATTGACGTGAGTGTAATCCAGTTAATGCAGTCCATTCAGGCTACACCGCGAAGGCGGGATTTCCTTAAATCATTCACTTTCCGGCCACTCCATTGTAGGGCACCAGCTCGCTCGGTAAGTCATGATTCACAGTTTAATAGAAATATCTTTTATTCAGCGTGTTTTAGAAATCGATGCTGTTTTTATGTTGCTTGCAAAACAAATATACGCTGCTCAGTAAAGCCCTCAGGTCGCATTTACCATCAATACGCTTTGACTGAGGTGCTTATATACAAATTGTAATATTAAATATATTTTAAACATTATAGAAATTACCTATAAAATCTTATGTTAAAACTACAACTACATTTCAGGAAAAAAACAGCCTGTCATTGTTCCAATATGCAGTGTTGTCCTTACAGTTTATGGTCCTTACGCATTTATGAAAAGCGATGCGTAACTTTGAATGTATTTATTTTCATTTATGAATGCGTATATTAACAGTTTGCGCACAGAAATCATGGGAGGACACGACGCTGGAACTCACCACCAGTTCACTGGCATCGCCAAGTACTTCAATTCATACACAATCACAGGCAGGAGGAATGTAAGTTTTTATATACCCTCGAATAATGCAAATTCTGCCATTATTATGCAGTTAAACTCAAGTGTGCATTGCCTTTGTATTTTTCCACTAAATTAAGTAATCCAGACTCTCTTTGTCCCTTGACTTTAGTGTGTGTTGGCCACATACGCCAGTATTGCTGCCATTATCCTCTTCTTTAAATTGAAGCCCAAGAAGCAAAAGGCCGTGAAATCAAGTTAATTTATAGTAAGTACTGCCTAAATGTAACTCTAACCAAAATGTACATTTCCAAAAGTTACGTTGAACTCTTTTTTTCCCTGTTTTCAGGATGTTTTGTGTTGAAACTAGGGGTGCGGGAAGCTGGATGTCCTTGTTTTGACCTCATCACTTAAGTTCAACTATGTAAAGAATAAAAAAAAAAAGATCACTTACACCAAACAAACGTTGTGTAGAAAATTTTATTTACAATTTTAGGAACTAGTATTAAAATTTGTACAGAAACTGTGAACCGTGTTCATATGCGACACATTTCAAAGATCAATGACAAGTTTCTGAATAAGAATGGAAGAGCTTATCATTTACAAAGACAAAAAGAGACCAGCCACATCATTTCGAGGCATGTGATGTGTAAGGGCCTTGGGGGGGAAAAAAGCATGGCAGTGATGCGATCGATGAGAAAACGAAATAAGCTTCTCGTGAGCATGAGGTGTAAAATCTGATCTAGAATCAGCATATGAATGATGCAAGAGGTATCGGTGGCTGCTGTATGCTCAGTGCTTGATGGTTCATTATGATGTCTTTCACTTCGCTTGAACCTATTTCACATATTCGGGTGAGCAGTAATCTTTCAATAACATGCACCATTCACGAAAAACAAACACAGCTACGAAAGGTCATTGTCCTCAGGAAGATGCGGTCACGTCACTGGGAGTTGTAGGCGCCTGCGGCCAGTAGCAGGTTGCGTCTGGTGAAATGCAGGTGGGTAACAGGTGTGGATTTGCTGTGGTACATCCCGAGCAGCAGCTCCTGGGAGTTATCGGGCAAGTGAATGTGGCCCGTCGTTGCGGTGAAGTCGTCAGTCTCCACTTCATCGAAAGCCTTCATGGAGTCCCACAGCCGAACGGTGTTATCCATAGAACCTGGAGCAAAACACATGGAATTTTGAACTGAACTGAATGACTATCAATCAGACGACAGAAGGCATTCAGTAGATTGTGTGCTGACCTGATGCGAGGATTTCTCCGTCTCTGCTGAACTTGAGGGCATAAATTGTGTCTGTGTGACCCTTCAGCTCTCCGATCATCAGCCCATGTCCAATATCCCATAGTAAAACTCTCCCATCTGTGGATCCAGATGCCAGGAACTTTCCATTAGGTGAGAATGCTAGAGAATGGATGGGCCCCTGAAAAACAAACATTATCACTTTTACTATTACTACTATTACCGTAGGTCATAGGATAAAAATAGTCATTGGGTAATAAATTGCACATGAGATAGACAGAAGAAACGAAGGGTTGAGCAGGTTTGTTAGTGATGGGTTTGAAATGACAAGGAGCAGTGTTTTGAATAGCAGCTGAATTAAAATATACAAATTACATAAAAAAACTTAATTAGAAATATTGCCTTGGCAACAAAATGAAATACAATCAGTTTAAGCTGAAGTACTCACCTAAACTAAAGCTAAACAAATATAGCTAAATTAAAATGAAAACTGAAAATATAAACAATTCATAAATACTATAATAGTAAGGCTACATGAATAACACTGAGAGGGAGAAAATGAATAATGAAAGAACTTCACAGAGACAGTGATGCAATGCAAATTCAAACATAAATGAGACGAATGGGATTTCCTGTGCAGTGCTCATATCTTCCAGTCACCTTTGGAAGCTTTCGATACCTTGTGACCTGTGAGAATGCGGACACAGTTTGCATTCAGGACGTCCCAGAGGCGTACAGTGCGGTCGGTCGAGCCTGTGGCCACATAGTTAGAGTTGGGGTGGAATCGCGTGCAGGTGACGTCAGCCAGATGCCCAGCAAATATCCGCAAGGGCTGGTAATGATCCGTCGCCCAGAGGCTGGGAAGCAAATGAAGATATCCTATTTGATTAAGGTCTTGAAAACATTTGCAATATCTTGCCATCCGTAGATGGGTCTCGTCATAACCATATTTGGAAACAGACTATATGATAATCATATAATGCTCAGCGTAGGTCATAGGATAAAAATAGTCATTGGGTAATAAATTGCACATGAGATAGACAGAAGAAACGAAGGGTTGAGCAGGTTTGTTAGTGATGGGTTTGAAATGACAAGGAGCAGTGTTTTGAATAGCAGCTGAATTAAAATATACAAATTACATAAAAAAACTTAATTAGAAATATTGCCTTGGCAACAAAATGAAATACAATCAGTTTAAGCTGAAGTACTCACCTAAACTAAAGCTAAACAAATATAGCTAAATTAAAATGAAAACTGAAAATATAAACAATTCATAAATACTATAATAGTAAGGCTACATGAATAACACAGAGGGAGAAAATGAATAATGAAAGAACTTCACAGAGACAGTGATGCAATGCAAATTCAAATATAAATGAGACGAATGGGATTTCCTGTGCAGTGCTCATATCTTCCAGTCACCTTTGGAAGCTTTCGATACCTTGTGACCTGTGAGAATGCGGACACAGTTTGCATTCAGGACGTCCCAGAGGCGTACAGTGCGGTCGGTCGAGCCTGTGGCCACATAGTTAGAGTTGGGGTGGAATCGCGTGCAGGTGACGTCAGCCAGATGCCCAGCAAATATCCGCAAGGGCTGGTAATGATCCGTCGCCCAGAGGCTGGGAAGCAAATGAAGATATCCTATTTGATTAAGGTCTTGAAAACATTTGCAATATCTTGCCATCCGTAGATGGGTCTCGTCATAACCATATTTGGAAACAGACTATATGATAATCATATAATGCTAAGCTATTTGGGTGGAAAAACCTGTCAAAAAATATTCAGGTCATATTACTCGATAAAATCAAAAGAAAAAAAATCAAAAGACTTTGCTTAAAGGAAATAAGCCTTATTATTATTATTATTATTATTATATTTACAGATATATTTATTATTATTAACACATACATATATATGTATACACATGTTTGTATATAAATATATAATTTTTATTTATTTAATATCTGTACAATTATTATATATTATCGCAACACACACATACATAAAAAATACTATTAAATATTTATACATTATTGTAGAAAGTGCCCATTCAGTATATGTATTAGTATACACAGATTTAAATAAACCCAAATTGTCATTACTGTAATAAAAACAATTAAATAAAACATTATTAATAACAGCATTACAATAATGAGAATCTGCCGTACCGTGCTACTCTGTCGTGTCCTCCTGACACAAAGTAATAGCCGAAGGGTGAGAAATGAGTGTCCCACACTGGATAGTTATGTCCTTTATACCCCACGAGACACGTAAACGTCTGCAGGCTCCACAGTCTGACTGTACCGTCCTCAGAACTGGACAACAGATAGTTCCTGAGAGACACACACAGATATCAAACCACACTGTCAGATCAGCTGCTGCAGGAAGCTATCAAATCACTTCAAACATGTTTAGTCCATAGCAAACTAATTGTTTGGTCGTTCTTATGCTTACACAGCTCCCCTGTTGTCCTGTATTACTCAGAAGACACATTTGATACCTGTCTGGACTGAAGCTGACACCATACACCGGCCCACTGTGACCGTGGAGGATCTTCGACTCACTGGCCGTCTTCTCATCCATGATCCTCTCCAGAACGTCATCAGACTCTTTCTCAATCACATTCAGTTCTAGAGAATAGGACAGCATAATTGAAATCATACAAGGCATCATACACCGCTTACACTGGGGTCTAGAAGCAGAAAATTTGGGATTGTCTTTAAAAGTGGAAATATAGGTATTGGATTGTTAAAGTTGTAAGATATCAAATGTAAAGTTTTCACTCAAATGTGAGAGTGATTATGGAGGTACGTACCTCCTGCGGATTTGACTTTGCGCAATTTCTTGGGTGTGACGCTCCACACGCGGACTGTGGAGTCTGCGAACCCTCCCGCTAACAGACTGGAGTCGTCAGTGAAGTCTACCGCCGTCAAACCCTGAGCGACAACACACGATCAGCAGGTGTGAAGTTAAGCAACACCCAACTAAAGCATCAACAAAAACACTGCCAACCTGGAAGGCGTTGAGGAACGTATAGAAGCAAATGGAAGGCAGGTTCTCGGGGCCGAGCCGGATTCTTTTGGTGCTCTCCTTCATGTACATGATCTTATCCAGTTTGTCCGAGTCCTTCAGCTCCGGCAGAGGGATCCTGTATGTCAGAGGTTATGAAACTATATATCCAGATTCAAATCATTTCTAAGCATCATCTTTAAATTCTCATGAAAAAAAAATATGTCCAATATACACTACATTTTAACAGTTTGGGGTCAGATTTAAGTCAGTAAGTCTGTTTTCTATTGTAATATATTTTAAAATTTAATCTATTCCTGTGATGCTAAGATACATTTTCAGCATCATTCCTCCAGTCTTCAGTGTCACATGATCCTTCAGAAATCATTCTGATATGCTGATGTATTATCAATAAACATTTATTATTATTATCAATGTTGAATCATTTGTGCTGCTTAATAATTTCATGGAAACCATGATACATTTTTTTCTATAATATTTGATGAGTAGAAAAATCTAAATAATTTATTTAAAATCTTTTATAACAATGAAAAAGTCTTCATTGTCACTTTTGATCAATTTAATGTGTCCTTGATGAATAAAAACTTTGAAAAAAATGTCATACCTGTTCTGTTGAGGAGCGTTGGGGTCTTGTTTCTTACTCTTGGAGCCCAGACTGTCCTTTTTTGTTTTCTTCTTCTTGGGCTTCCCTTCCTCGTTCTCTGCTTCATCATCTTCATCATCTAACGGGACCTCGATCTCTGGCTCCTTTAGCAGTCCATAGAATACCTGGTACCATTAGAAACAAAACAGACATCATTAAAACACACAATAATTTTCAAATAAGAGATGATTTCAGTTCAAGAGACTGCAATTATGAGATCATTTTTTTTAAATCTCTTTCAATGCCTTTCCTTATAATTTCCTCAAAGTGCAAACTCTGTCATTGTGATACCATCAAGTATCTTAATGATATTAAAAAACATCTATTATATACACTAGCTTTCGAAAGATTTTTTAAAAACAAATTAGCAAGGCATTAAATTAATCAAAAGACATTTACAATGTTACAAAATATTCCTGTTTTAAATAAATACTGTTCTTTTGAATTTTCTATTTATCGAAAATTCCTGAAAAAAAAAAAAAATGTTTCCACAAAAATGAAATGTTTCTTGAGCAGCAAATCAGTATATTAGAATGATTTCTGAAGGATCATGTGACACTGAAGACTGGAGTAATGATGCTGAAAATTCAGCTTTGATCACAGAAATAAACTACATTTTAAAATATATTCAAATAGAAAGCAGTTATTAAACAGTTATTTTAAATTGTAATATTTCACTATTCACTATTTTTCATCAAATAAATGCAGCCCTGGTGAGCATAAAAGAGTTCTTTCAAAAAAATTTTTTTAAAATCTCACCAACCTCACACTTTTGAAAGGTAGTGTATATTTTCCACATGGAAATGTATCTAACCTTGGCTTTATTGACTTCTCGTTTGGCCTCTCCTGCGAGACTGCCGGACATGCTGTCGATCTGGCTCTTGCTGCGAGGCATGCCGTCAAAGATGTCGATGTACAAGTGCTCTTGAATGATGTTCCATATCTGGTTATTATGCCTTTCCTGCAAGTGTCTCTTCAGCAGCTGGTACGAGTCTCGGGAGATGTGCAGCACGAAACGGCTGGTGCGGAAGTCCAGCAGCACCTCGTTCCCCTTCAGGTGCTCTTTCTTAGTCAGGCCGCAGAGAATGTGCAGGTCATCCTGATAGTAACACTCCTGATCGCCGCTGAACCTATCAGCAAACAGGAAACGAACTGGTTAAGCCACTACTGAAGAGTCCAGTGTTTAGACTTACAGAATAAAAATGGTCATTATAGTCAAATTACATGAGGATAATCATATCATCCCTCATTAATTCCACAACGTAAACAAGATCTGATGCTTACTTGTCAAAGAAAGCCTTTGCTTCAGTCTCATGGTTGTTGTAGACCAGCTCCAGGTACATGTGGACGAACAGAGGGTAGAAGAGCTGGGACAGCTCCGCTCGGTGACAGTCCAGCACGGACTCGATGAAGTTCTTCAGGCCGCTGTAGTACACCTGATACAGGGGGGGGTCCCCCTGCTGGCTGTATGCTGACAACACCACACTGACATCCGGCTGGTCTTCTGACAACATAAACATAAATGGCAAATCACACCTGAAAATGTTGATGATACAACTGCATATTGAAAAAGCAGGTAGATCACAGCAAAAGATGCTACACGGTACAAAGACTAGGGATGCACCGAAATTAAAATTCTTGGCCGAAGCCGAAACTGAACAAAATGAAACACTGGGCCGAATGCCGAACACGGGTTTTCAAGTTTTTTCCCCCCCATGTATTTTGACAATTTTTTTCATTATTAAAAAAAAAAAAATATATATATATATATATACCGGTAGTACTAAATATATACCTATGTAATTTTTTGTATTGGGATTTTACTAAAGCTTAATAATATACTGAATAAATTTGTACATTTTTTATTTTATATTTTTCATTTCAATTTTATTAACATTTTTAGTAATTGTGCATTTTTGCAGTTTTTGTTTATTAGTTTTATTTTTATTTTTTTTAATTATTCTGTTTTTGTCTATACATACTCTACCTTTCAAAAGTTTGTGATCAGTAAGATTTTTTATATTTTTTAAAGAAGTATCTTCTGCTCATCAAGGGCGCATTCATTTGATCAAAAATAGTCGAAAAGTAATAATGTAAAATATTATTAAAATTTTAAATAATGGTTTCTATTTGAATATATTTTAAAATGTAGTTTATTCCTGTGAAGCAAAGCTGAATTTTCAGCATCATTACTCCAGTCTTCAGTGTCACATGATCCTTTAGAAATCATTCTAATATGCTGATTTATTATTGCTTAATTTTATTTCAAGACAAGTAATGAAAATGTTTTGTACAGTTTTAGTTACCTATAAGAATATATATAAGATATATAAGAATTCTGATATCTACATTGTGATGTATGTAGTATTATTTATAGTAATTATAGTAACATACTTATATTCCAGTAATGTTTTTTTTCTGCTTATATATTACAGAAAAAATGTAACCATAACTTTTTTATGCATGAACTTCCTGCACAAAGTGCATGTGGAATGCCAGTAAAATATGTTGGAAACTCGGTGTTCAAATGTACAAAACATAAGCAAGAATATTTGGAGGGCTATATTGTTGATGCAACTAACCTTCTGTACAAACTACAGCAAAACATTAGAAAGGCATAAAGCATGGTAAATATCGGCAATTATAAGTCGTAGGTGACGCTCACTCTTTACGGGCATGCTTTGGGGGGCGGCTGCTGATGTGATGGACACCCGGCTGAGCAGAGAGTTTGCATCCCCTCCATCCCCGTCTCCCTTCCCTCCTCCGCTGCCATCGGTAGCCTGTGAGCCCTCCTGATGTTCTCCTAAACCGGCTTCCCGCCGCAGGATCTCCACCGACTCCGACAGTTTATTCCGCTTTAGAAACTGCAGAACTGCGATCAAAGTTTGCTGGTCCTCCATCTTCGGGGCTCCGCCGGCGGGGGCAGCGGTGAGGGGCGATGAGGACAGCGTCCCGCTCGCTGTGTTCCCCGAGAGGTTAGACGTCCCATCGCTGAGAATCTCTGGCTTTGCCTCTTTCTCTGCGTCTAGCTCCATCGGTCCATCTTGCACAGCCGCCATTTTTCTCTGGCGCTGAAAGCAATGGCGTCATGACGTGCGCAGCGTAGTACGTCTTCTTCTTCTTTGGATTTTTTTGGCGTATTCCGCACCATAGGCACATACCGCCACCAACTGTTTCTAATCATACATGGATGATAGTCCCGCCTCTATTCATATTTTATTTATTTATTTTTTAATTGTTAATTTTATTTCGGGCTCACCCAAGCTGTATTTCTGGCTGCTGCGTGTTCAGCTCCCATGCCAAAAAACCCAGCTTGTGTGTTCCCCTATTCCTTTGCTT